CATTGAGTTTCTTGGGGTTGTGATCTTCATTGTCTTTTCTTAAGGTATTGTTTTAAACAATTTTGGAGTGCTGGTTTGGTATTCATGAAGTTCCTCAGGTGCTCTTTGTCATGGAAGTATCTTATTTCTCCATTAATTTTGAAAGTTAGTTTTTCAGGGTACATCAGTCTGGGTTGGAGGTTGTTTTTCTTTAGGGTTTGAAATATTCCACTCCAGGCTCTTCTTGCCTTAAGAGTTTGTGTTTAAAAGTCTACTGTGATTGTGATAGACTTCTCTGTTTATTTTCTCTAAGTACTTGCAGAATTTTGTTCCTGTGTTGGGTTTCAGGAATCTTAACTATTATATTTCTACTTGTAGATTATATTTTTGATCATGGCTAGTTGGAGTCCTGTATGACTTACTTTCCTATGTGGCAAATTCTTTATCCCTACTTGGGAAGTTTTCTGCCATTGCTTCTGTGAAAGTTTATGTCATTTGTACTCTCTCCTGTTTCTTCATTGACTCTGATCAGTCTTATGGTATTTTTTACATCATCGAGCAGCTGTTGGATTGATTTCTAATGATTCCTTATTATCTTTGAAAATTTTTTCGTTTCCTTATCACTACTTGCAATCCTTCCTGTCTTCTATATCTGAAATTCTTTCTTCACGTTGGTTCATTCTGCTGTGTATATTTCTAATGGAGTTTTTAATCTGGAATTGTGTTTGCATCTGTTTTGTAGATTCCGTTTATTTTCTATCTTGGGATTCTATCATGTTCCTTAGCTCCTTTATTTTTTTATCTGTGTCTTCTCTAGAATTAGTCTTGCATGTCTTGCACCATGGGCACAATTTCTATTGTTATCTGAGAAATTATTTCTGATTTCATTTTTCTAGACCCTATTTTGTTGCTAGTTCAGGGAAGCCAGGTGGTTGCATATCAGACTGTACCATCTTATTGTCCTTTGGGATTGCCTTAAGTAATCTGAAAGTCTGGCTTTGAGACTTGTTTATGTGTCTTCTCATTTCAACAGATGAAACGAGCTGTGCCTTTGTTGTGGCTACTTTTTGCTCACCTAATGGTCTTCAGTTCTCTACAAACCACCAAGAGACCTTTTCTCTGCTGGTTATTCCTGCACTACTTCCTGGATTCAGAATGGTGGCCTTCTGTTATCCCTGTCTGCCCTGTTTTCCAGGCTGGGTTCTGTCTGGGGCCTCTGCACACTTGGGATGATATCTGGGCATGCCTTTGGCTCAGGTCTGCCCCTCTATGTAGTTGTTGCCTGGGGGGCCTTTGGCAGGGAGCTGTGCACCCCAGTCACTGTTGTCTGAGTGGGCTTCTGGCTGTGGTCAGTGTGTACTTAACCAATGCTATTGGGGCAGGCCTCTGGCTGTTGCTTGTGCACCTGTGCAGCTCCTTTCCAGGCCAGCCATTTACTGGGCCTGTTAGTCTGAGCTGCTGGGGTCGGTGGGACTCTCGCTAGGACCTGCCTGTAACCTTGAAGTTCCTGCCCATGTCTTTTTACTGAGATCTGCATGAACCTACAGATGACATATAGGCAGGTCTCTGCTTAGGTATAGTTTTGTAGGGTAATCAAGAATGGAAAAACATAAATTTGTGCTCTTGCTTCCAAATTGTGATTTGATTACTTAATACAATACAGTTCTCTTTGGACAGATGATGTTGGAAAATTAAAATGCCTGCCAACTTAAGAGTAATAATAAAAGATTTTCTGAAGACAGTCTTAAGATACTTATAGTGTACTTTGAAAATGTGTTGCTTGCTAGTCTTACTTTATACACATTAGTATTATTGTATCAGTCAGGAGACATATCACACAATAATTAAACAGGGAAAGTATAAAATGTAAACAAAGAGGGCTTGACTACTATGGGTAAAAGCAATTCTAAAGAATATTAAAATAGAAGAAATAGGGAGAAGAGCATGCAAGAATGAAATCTGAAAGAGCACCTACTCTTGACCTGCCCATCCCCAGGGGTGGGATCCAGACATCATTAAAGGTATGTTTTACAGTGAGGCAGAGAAAATTCACTGAAATATCACACAGGTAGGATTCAAGAATCTACCTTCTGAGATTATGGGGAGGAATCATCCTCAGAAATGCAGAATGTACTGGGGAGTGATGCACTTGGATTCTCCCTTCATGAGTCTGGCTGTGCATGGATCATTGGCAGTACCTGCAGATGAGAAGAGAACTAGGAGCCCCTCTCCCTCTAGAAGGTTTCATCCTCCACCCTGTACTAAATTGCTTAAAATTGTGCTGACTGGCAAAGACAAGGGGATGAAAGGGTGATGACAAGCAGCAGACTGACAATTGACACAGTCCAGCCCTTCACTGCTGAGCTTTCTCATGTTTAACTTAAGAAGCAGCTACAACAGAAATTTTTACATATATACAGTTCCTGCCAAAAACTGTATACACACTTCAGGAAAAGGAAAACTTACATCACTATTTTAGTACTAAATTTATTGAGACACTATGAGATAATACAAGTTATCTTTGCTCTCTACAGTTATAAGAGATGTTCAAAGTGATGGTCATTCGCTTTCAGACTTTTATTATTTTTCTTTTCCTGAAGTGTGTATACATATATTGTATATATGTATGTGTATGGTGTAATTTAGTATATGATTTATACATGTAATTTTATGTATATAATTTAATATATAAGATAATGTATGATATCAAATAACTTATAAACGCAATATGTAATTGTATACATACATAAGTAATTTCATATATAATTTATATGTGTACATAATTTATTGATATTGGTTGCCACTGCACAAAGAAAATAGTAGTCTTAGACAAAAAAAGGGAAATAGAATTCTGAAGTAGATAATGCCATTCTTAGATAAAACAAATTGTCAAATAATTTAATTTTCCTTGATCTAGAAATACTAAAAAGACTTTTTAAAATATTACCACTGAATAATTAATATCTACCACTTAAGAATTAATTTGTTTTTTTGAGGGGGAATGGGTTAAAATAAAATTTATTAAAAAATCATTAATTTGTTTTTACTAGTAGCTGTAAAATGAAGACAAAGGCTTTACGGTGGTAAATAGTTGAACCAGAGCCAGTAAGGAAAGAGGAGGCAAGTAAGTCAGTTAACCAAAATATATGAGTACTAGGAATCTTTTTTGCCATTGAGTGAAGATAGGACACAGAGAACATTTTATGTAAATGACCTTAAAAGGGAAGAACTAAAGTGGTGGGGAGCAGTTTAGGGTCAGATGGGTGAACACACAAGAGAATAGGACAGGTGATCCCTTCTTGTCTTTATGAAATGTGTGCTGCTTGTCCATTTGCAGCCAGGCATGGTAGGATGGTGCAATAGTGCAGTCACTACTTGAGGGTAGTTCATTGTTATGATTCAGTTTTTAGGGTAAAAGTTGACATGAGTTTTTCTGCTAGGAGCGTTGTATCTGCATGAAGGTGCATTAATAGTCTTTGGTGTTTTGGAAGAATCTTTTGTCATTATAGGCAGAAAAAAAGCAAGAATAAAAGTGGTACCATGCTCTGTGTAGTATTGTTAGAAATAATCATGAAATTAGATACATTCATAGGAAAATGGATACGTATTGAGGATATACTTAGTGAAATAAATAAGTCACGTGTAAATACTGAAGAGTTTCTCTGGTATGAAAAACTATAATAGTACATAAGATCCTAATGAGATAATTGACCATGTGAAATAGGAAGAAAAGGTATAGGAAAGTGGCAAGGGTAGGGGAAAGGTAATAAGGGAAAAGAAAAAAAATATGAGAAAATGCAAAAATGGAAATAAAGTGTTTGTAAATGGGAAGGGGAGGAGGGGGTGAAAGGAGGGCAGGGACAAGGGAAAAAATGAGAACCAAGACCTGTCATGTACAGATACAAGATCCCAACAATGAATGTAACTGTACTGTATACCTAAAATGTACCAATAAACTCAATAAAAAATTTTTAAAAAATAATGCTGAAAAAAAGTGTTAAAAATAATTTTTAGAGTCATAATTAGAAGGAGAGATTTAAAGTCTTAGTGTTCTTCTTGATTATCCATCTCCTCCAATCTGTTTCATGAGCATCTCTTTCTGTGGTTTTCATTTATTGGTTTTCTTAATTCCTTATCTCACATTAGTGGACAATTAGCAGTGTAACACAGGTGCAATATATTCTTCATGGTGTCTTCTTGCTACTGGGAGGAGAGTGTGAGAAGTGTGGGGAAAACATAAAATCAGGGATGAAAGCAAATGTACCCTAACCTCTCATCTGTGGAGCAGTTTGGATTAACAGTTAATTATAATAGTTATTGACTTGGACCCTGAATATTCCTGGCCTTCATATCCTCATTCAGATGTTAATAGACACTGTGTTGACCAGGTAGCCAAAACTGTCAAGTAGAAATACGGAAATTGGGTTCACATCTCTGATTTCTTTTTCAACCCTTTTTTTTCCTGTTTTGTAAATAGAGATTTAGCCGGGGATTTAGCTCAGTGGTTCTGCTGCCTGCCTTGCAAGCGCAAGGACCTGAGTTCGATTCCCGGTACAAGGGAAAAAAAAAAGCTTCTATAAATAGAGATTTATTTCTTACAGGCTGGTAAGTTCAAGATCAAAGTGCAGGCAGATTTGGTGCCTGGTAAGAGCCAAACTTCTAACTTATAGAGAGCTGTCTTTCTGCTTTCTGCTCACATTGCTGAGGCGCTGAAGGGGCTTCTGGGTTCCCTTTACAAGGGCAATAGTCCCATTCACGAAGATGCCATGCTTAGGGATCCAGATGCCCATTACCTTCAGATGATGCCATGCAGATCAAAATCAGATCATCTTGTAGGTTCCTCAGCACTAAATCCACTCTTTTGGCGTTTCATCATTTGAGAGAGATTTAGGGATTCCATTTTTGCATGAATTACTATGTATTAAAAAACATTTTTAATTATTATAGAGTATTTGTTATTACTTGACAGGTGTATGTCTTCTTGCCTAATTGTATGGATTTTATTTCATTTTGTTTTTCAGGTTTTTCTAAAGAGTGACCGAGTGGCCAGAATGGTACAGAGTGGAGGATGTTCTGCCAGTGACTTCAGGGAAGTGTTTAAGAAAAATATAGAGAAACGTGTACGCAGTTTGCCAGAAATAGATGGCTTGAGCAAAGAAACAGTGCTGAGCTCATGGATAGCCAAATATGATGCCATTTACAGGGGCGAAGAGGACTTGTGCAAACAGCCAAACAGAATGACCCTAAGTGCTGTGTCTGAACTTATTCTGAGCAAGGAACAACTCTATGAAATGTTTCAGCAGATTCTAGGTATTAAAAAACTAGAACACCAGCTCCTGTATAATGCATGTCAGGTAAGAACTCTATGGTATTTTCCATCCCTGGCTGACTCGTAGAATGAGCATCAAGTGTTTACAAGCTGTGAAGATGTACTTTCTGTAATCACTTTCTGTGAAAAGTTGAGTGAAACTGAATTTTAATAAATAATGATATTTGAAAGAAGTATTTGACAGAGAAGAATATCTGTATCTTTATCCAGGACCTGAAGAGTAAAATAATAGTCATCTGTTACCTGGCTATTTGTAAGTAGATTCTCTTCAGTGCAAAATAATTTTTCATAAAGATGTGGTGCTAGTCCTGAGTTTTATGGAAGTAATTGAAATTTCAAATTTTTCTTTAACCCAGTCAGATTAAAATATTGATGATTGTTAAAGCTATGTAGTTTGAAGAGATGACAAACTTAAAAATGTATTTCTGGTTAAGCTGTTGTCATCCATATGAAAAATAGAATAAAATCTCATATTTCTTGTTTTTCAGTTTTAAATCATATAATTTGTCTAATGATGTATCCCTTCTGTATTTTCATGTTAGCCTATTTTGAAGTCTAAGTTATTTAACTCCACTTTAATATACAATTTAAATTTATAAAATATTTGTACTTAAAAATTCATTTGTTCCGTAAAAACTAACCCTTATAATATGTGTGTTTGTTTTTTAACCTCTTTGAAATGTATTTTTTTCTAATTTCTGAATTCCATCCATATCTTTTATTTTGCATTACTGATTTGTCTTTAATTTCAGATGAATAAATTAACCACTAATGGTGAAGTAGCATAAAACCTTAACCCTATAAACAATGTATTTATCATAATTGTTTTCACTGTCTCATTAAACCAGATTATGGTTTGGTAATAGTGGAAGATGACTGTGAAACTGAAAGATCCTATTTTAAAAGATAAATACAGCTAGCACTTTGCATTCTTTAATGAAAGTAGTACCTTGTATATTTTAATATTAACTGAACATAGCTTCATAGTATGAGTCAGATTCAGACATTCATTAGATATTTATAGCTAATTTATTCAAGCAAAACCATTACTTATGTATTGGAGAAACCAAACTGAGCAAAATAAGATATTTATTCTCCATGTTCCAATGTATAATAGAGCCACTAGACCGCTCAGTGAATTAATACTTATGCATTAGAATTCATACTGAATGTTATAGGGTGATAAAAATATATTCCTGTCTACCCATGGGTTTCTGTTTATTAACTCAGAATAGTTTTAAATTAATATTTTGCCAAATTTTTACATCAGTCCTAGAGCTAAGTCTGGACCCATTATCTGTCTTCTGTGACTTGCAAATAAAGTATTTCTAATTCAAATAAGCAACTATAATGGAGGATTTATTTAGTTTTTCTTTTAGTTTTATCAGTATATGCCTCATTTATTTGGATATTCTCTTAGGAAAATAAATGTTTATTAGGATTGTTATGTTTTCTTGTATAATTGACTTTTTATCACAATATAATATTCTTTATAACTGACAAAGTTCTCTAAAATGTACTTTATTTAAACTGATCTAGCTATGGCAGCTTTCTGTTGATTAGGATTAGCATGATGTGTACTTTCTCCATCAGTTTAATTAATTTTTTTTTTCAGCACTGGGCCTCACTCATGCTAGACCAGCAGTTTACCCCTGAACTACATGCCTAGCCCCTTTTAAATTTTGATGCATTGTGTCCGTAACTTGCCTAGTCTGGCCTTGAGATTAGCAATCTTCCTTCCTCCATTCCTGAGTGACTACAGGCATGTTCCATCATACTTGGCTTTCCATCTATTTATTTTTAAGCTGTGTTTTTATTTTTAAAGTGAGTTTTTTGTAAATACACATAATTGGGTCTTGAAGATTTTGTTTGTGTTTCCCACCTCTATTTTTGGCTTTTAAGAGCTATTTTTATTATTTGGCTTTTTTGTAGACAAAGTTTAGATATGTATTTCAGGCTGGCTTGTAACTCACTGCTCCAGGAAGGCCTTGTCTTGAGGTAATCTTTCTGCTTCAGCCTCCTCAATGTTGGATTATAGGCATGCACTACCATGCCCAGCAATGGCTGAGCTTACACCATTTGTATTTAAAGTGATTACTTATATAACTGGATTGAGTTGTACAGTTTTGTAAATATTGTCTGGTAATTGCAACATCGGTGTCATATCTGAACTGGTTCAGATGCTTGCTTTTTCTCTCCATCTGTGATTCTTTTGCAAAATTTTGTCATTTCTTTTAATTTTTTAAAAGTGAAAAACCAGATAAGTCATTTCAGATAATAGGAGTTGTGGTAACAAGGTTCAGTATGAGGTTTTATGTTGCTCTAAACTAGTAGTTGAGTTTTAGTTTGTGAGTTTTTGTACCTGTAGCTGAGAAGCTTCAGGCTTGTCCAGTGCCCTTGTATTCACCTCTTCCCTTGATTTAGGGCTTCTTCAGAGAATGATTCTATCTTGCAGCTCTTTTAGCTTAAACTGCAGTTGTATTGGAAGTAGGTGCTATTGTGGTAAGGTGTTGGAGAGGAGGGGAGTATTCAGTAACCTGATTAAACATTAATCTTTAGTCTTTTAGTGGACCTATGTCTGAGAGAACCTTCACAAGATTATCTCTTTTTCATGGGTATCTTTTCCTCTTACCCCATGTCCCTTAGTTCCCTTGTTCCCTTTTCTGGCTGTATCATTCCCAGGTATTTTCTTGAAGTTCTGTATACCCTGATCACTGTGTGTGTGTGTGCACATGTATGTGGGTGCACATGTATGTGTGTGTGTGTGTTGTTTTTTTAGTAGATTAGATTGGAAGTAAGTTGTCAGTGTTTCCCTCTGGCAAAGTATTTTTCTTTCATTAGAGAGAAGCATCTGAGAGATTTAAGAAAAACTTTTGATTTCCTTCCTACCGTGGCCTCATGTGTCCCCTTCTTGGATCCACAGAGTTATAGCTTGGTGGACTTGCTTGAAGGAAAGCTTAGTATAGTACAATTTATACTGCCCCTTTATAATCATCCCTTAGAAGTTTCTTGCTCTTTTTACTCAGCTTGTAGTAACTTGTCAAAATTACTTAGTAAACAAGTATTCCTGCCATATATATGACATCCAGTGACCACTGCACCAAGTAAGATATCTTTTTGGATTTGTCTTTCTAGATTTTGAGTTAGTAGTTCATGCTGTATCATCAGATCTCTGATAAGTCCAAGAAAAGTCTTTGATTTTGGATTTGTCTGCAAGAAAGGGAATGATGTCTTCTGAACTCTTTCACTGTCTAAGCTAAAACTGGAAGTTTTATCAATTCTGTGATTTGAAAGTAAAGCTTAAAAGTTACTGTTTAGAATTACCTTAAAACCAAAAGTAATCCTTCAAATAAGTGGAATGCATTCCTATGGAACTGGAACAATTTTTTAAAATTATGAAAATAAGTCAAAACAAGTGTAATTCCTTCTTTCACTGAAGGAGTTATTTATAGTGTGTGTGAAGGAGAGAGGGAGAGTGTGTGTGTGTGTGTGTGTGTGTATAATATGTTGTTATAGTAAGGAGTGTGTGTACATATATTATGTTTGCTTTGTTAACCTTTGACAGAAGTTGAAAAGAAAGGATTAAGGAAAGGCAGTAGAAGTCATAGAAAATAGCCCCCCTTAAAAAGTAATAATCTAAAAAGGGAAGTATAGCAGGGCCTCGGAATAGAGAGAAGATATAAAGTTGCCAAAGCTGCTGGAGCCTGGCTCCAGTTTTGTCTGATTCATTCCACCTTCCCTGAATGTCAGGAAAAGCTTTGAGACTCTTGGTAACTAGAACAGTCTTGCCTATGTATTTGTTTACCCTTGCCTGGTCCCTTGTTCTTTTTAAAAATATATTTGTATTCATGACTATTAATTTCATAGAATTTTGGGTTTCAGTGTGGTATTTTCATATACACACATACGGATCAGCTCAGTACATCATATACTGAGCAGGAGCAATCCCCACCTCCACATTAAACAAAAAGAGGAAGAAAAAATGGGATAGCCTCATGTTTTTGCCATCAGTGATCCCTTAGGAAATCTCAAAGATGTGGTGCTTGCTTTGGGAAGCTCAGGAGAATGTGCAACTCTGGGGAGATGTGCGGGACTTAAGTCGCCACCAAGTCCCTCCCCGGAGTCTCAGAAAAGAAAGGACAAAAGTGAGAAGGGAGCCTTGCCAGGGCTACCACATGACTCAACAGGAGTGCCCTTTGGTGATATTCCTGTTTCAGAGTTACAGCATCAACATAGGGAACAGAAAAGTAGGAAGCTACCTTGTGAAAAAACATAATTGTTTACATTATGTCTGGTCAGAACCAATAAATAATTATTAAAATTAAGGTAAAAAGAAAACTAAAACTAAGTTTGAAGATTGTGCATAGCACAACGAAGATATGGAAATCAGGGTTAATGAAAAGAAAAATAGTTATTTGTCAGTATCAGAAAAATCTAAAAGTAATTTTAAGAAAGAATAAGTGCAGGGCCACGGATTTAGCTTAGTGGTTCCGCTGCCTGGTGTGCAACTGCAAGGACCCAAGGTAGATCGCTGGTACCAAAAAAAAAAAAAAAAAAAAAA